AATGTACCGCCAGAATCAAAAAGAGGAACAAATTTCCTTCGTTTTGATATGTAAAGTGTCGGACAAAAAGCAGATTTACCCTCGTCAAATGGCGTTTCAAAACAGCTGTATCTTCCTCCTTTTGATTTTTTCCTGTTTTGTAAAGCGTGAAAGCAGTAGGAGAGGGATCGAGAAACTCAGAAAGCGCTTCGGGAATTAACCTGCCATCGTTTAATTACAAGATAAACAAGTAAGATTTGTGAAGTTCGTTGAAGTATGAAGTCTAAATAAAAGCCTTTTTTAAGCTTGTTTGCTGGATTTTTCGTAAACTTCCCTGATTAATTTTTCGTTTCAGCTTACTAATCTATACTATTTCAAAGCAATGTAAAGACGAAGACGGAGAACCATGAGTCGGTCCTTTCAACAATCGTAAACAAAGTGTTTGAGCAATCGGGTATACGAGGTGTAATAATCAATAGCCGCATATCAGAAGTCTTCAGAAAGAAAGTAACTGTCTTCAGAAAGCTGTCAAGAAAGCTAGTGATCGTGGCGGATGGCAATTAAATGCACTTCTTAGCAAAGTTGGAAACGGACCCTCGGTATCGATTTAATATCATATCGATCATACAGTTTTGTATCTTTATTCCGTGGATTCGCCTTTCTAACGAGGGTGTATGTTGAGTATTCATTGCAAAATCGCTTTGTTTTTTTTAATTTCCCTCTTGGGCTTGTCTGCTATTTTGAAAATTCGTAACGGAGAGCATGCGCATTACGTGGGGTTAGTGGTGGCGTACACCTAGAACCGAGAAAAACAAATGTTCGTCGCACTGGGGAAAGAGTTTGATATGTATATATTTTACGACGGTTAAAAAATAACTTTACCTTGAAACAAATTTTGAGGCAGTTATAAATGCAATTGCACATTTTTGAATTATCTTTTGTTATAATGTGTACCTGAAAAGATCCAAATCTCTAGGAGCCTATAAAATTGGAGGCCTTTGAATTTTTCGTTGAAGAAATCTAACACTGCAAATGTTATTAAACTATACTCCCATGACAATAAAAAGAAAACTGAACCTTGGAACAAATTTTTAGGCAGTTATAAATGCAATTGCATATCTTTGAATTATCTCTCAGTATAATGTGCACCTGGAAAAACCAAAATTCATTGGCGCGGAGCAACAGATAATTAAAGTAATTTCTGGAAGAAGGACAAACAAAATCGCACGTTGTGTCAAATCAAAAGCTCTATTATATTCTCTGAATAAATCAAAATAATAGGAATGCATTGTGAAAAGATATTTCTTAAATAGAGCAAATAAATCCTAAAAATATCGAAATTATTTCTGGAATTGGGAAGAACGAAATCGCACTTTTCTTTAAAATCGAAGGTCTATTTAGTTTTCGCAAAAGAAATCCAAATCCTCAAGACCTCCCTAAACAGTAATTCTTGAATCGAGAACAAGACCTTAAAACAGATTTAGAAGAAAACAAAAATGTAATTTGATTCTCAAACTTCTGCCTCGTTATGTTCTCCTGAAGAAAATAAAGGCAACAGAAATTCACATGAAAATAGGGGCCTTCCTAGTTTCCGCTTAAAAATACTGTAGATATCTATAGAAAGATTTTCTTGAATGGCGAAAAACCAGACGATACAAAACATTTGCGAGTATCTTTCGTCATGTCTTCTGAAGAAATCAATATTCCTACGAGCCTTTTCAGTTTTTGTGCAAGAAATGAAGTATTGCAGAAATCCTGCTAACAAAATGATACTATAAAGTAGACCTTGGCCTATTTAGAAGTACAGATAAAAATAATTGTCTCATCAACTTATCTGTCGTTATGTTTATCTGAACAAATCAAAATCCTAATCGTTGGGTAACAGAAATTTATTGCCATTTCTGGAATTAACACACAAAAAATTGCGCTTCCAATAAAATTGAAGGCCTTTTGAGTGTCCTTCGAAGAAATCTGAAAACTAGGTGAGTTAAACATCTATACTTTTTGAGTGAAATAATTCATTATAATCCTAACGAGGTTAAAAATTCCTGAGAGCACTGACAAAATTGCGAAACAAATCCAGAAGTAATAAGAAATATAATAACCCTTTTTTAAATCATCTTTCGTTGTTTTCCTCACGAGATCAAAATTCCTAAAACCCACAGGAAATTTAAAGCTTCTCGTTGAGTTGAGGCAACAATTACCTCGAAAATTTCACTTCCAAAAATATTGAAGGCCTTTTTACGTTTCCACTGAGGAAGCCTAACTACGAGTGATACATTACAAAAAGATAATTCTCGAATCGAGAAAAAACCAAAACAAAACTAAAATCCAATTTAAAAGCCAAAAATATGTAAGGTAATTGTGCTTTACAAAACCACTCCGAGTTATTTTTCCTGAGCAGAGAAATCGAAGTTCCTTAAAGCAACAGAAAATATTTCTCATAATGAAACGTTCGAAATTTAAATAAAACAGCTCTTGGTTTTGTTTCTCGGGTGCTCCTGAAGACTTATGCGATTTACAATCTACGGTCGAAAGTCTGTCAAGTTTTAAAAATTAATGTTAATTCCGCTTATCTGTCTCCTCCAGCTTGAACTTGTGCTTGTGATTAGCCATTTCTTTTAACCCCCTTGACGACCCTTCATTCTTGTTTTAAATTCGTTGTTTCCTTCTTCGTCTGTGAATAAATAAAGCAAACAAAAACATGAAAAAGTGCTACAAGATGGAGCCACGACTTTGACCACTGAAAGTATTTAATAAAAGGAATGATAACAAAACATCAGGCTCCGGTTGTTCGAAGGTCAGATAACACTATCCACTAGATAAATCTGTATCTGGTGAATAACGCAGTACGTTTTATTATCAGTTATCCACTGGATAGCGATTTATCCGTTGGATAGAGTTATCCACCCGCTATACAACTGGGCCCAGAGCTTTAAGTATCAAAGGGAGAGATAATAACTTTACAAAGCTAAAAGGCACTCGACAACAAAAAAAATCAGTTGCAAAAAACCGCCATATTGTTTGGGACAGGTCACTTAAGTTGAACAGTATTCGAATGTGAAGTGTATCGTGCTGGGTTAAAGATAGTCTTCATTTTTGTTTAGTCCTACGAGTGGAAATTTATTAAATGTTTTGGCAGAAAAATGAAGATTTTAAAAATACATTATAAATCCCTTAGTAAAGCAAACGTCACCTTCCCTAACACACGACTGATTTACAACATCACCGCGGAACATTTTAAGTTAAACTTTAGCAGAGTAAAACGTTCAACTACTTACCAGAAATTGGCCAAAGCTCATAAACATTCCCCCATTCCTGTGGATGTCTTCAGTATTTGATTTTTTATCTCTAAAAGAGAATTCTCTTCTACTAAGAGAACGCTTCCAAACACGCCCGCCATGAACAACGTGGTCTTTTGCTTCATGAATATGGATTTGAACTTCAAATCTCCACGGACAAAATGTCACAATGTTTTGCATAGTTTTGCATACTACTCTGCTGAAAAAAAATTGATAAAAAAGGATATAAACGCCTCTCATAGGACATTTTCTGGACGATTCGTCAACCACATCAAACTTAGGGAAAAAACTGATAAAAAAAACTTAAAGCTCTTGATATTTTTTCCGCCTTAAATTAGTTCCCCTCCTGAAGGAAAAGCCATTTTCATTCTTCGAACCTTATCTCCCTCGTCTAACTAAAAGCTAGTCATATTAGGACCGAAATAAAGGAGTATCAAATTTGCCTTCCAAACGATACTGCTAGACATTCTGATACTTTTTAAGCATATCAGTTTATCTGGTCATCAGTCAATCCGTGAGACAAAAATCTTTCAATATGTGGAACCTTTTACAAGCTAACATCAGTATCCAGATTATCCATACTGACGAGGAAAATTTGTTTAATAATCAAAGCTTCTTAGCTTGGTGATCACTTCGCTATTTTCGTTATCCTAGTGAACGATTCAGCAGGATATTTGTATGGAGAAATTAGATGTTGGTCACTCTTCAGGTTAATGTGGCATTTTCATGGAGAAATATTAACACAACAATATCAAATTAAATTATTAGTGTATTATTAATCCCCAATTCCATGCTAAGAACGTACAAGGAAACTTGTGCTTAAACCTCTCGGGAGTAACGCAATAACACTTACCAATAAAGTGAAATTTAATAGATGTTGCACTTGGCTTTAAAACAATCTGTCCAACCGCCATTAATAGGCGTCACCTTCTCTCGTCATTTTGTGCTTAACTATCGACAAAAGCGGCTTTGTCACTAATATCCTCGCCCCAGAAATCTTTCTTTCACAACATGAAATGGTTGTAAATGTGATTATTTTCATAAAGGCCTTAGACGGGATTTCAGCTTTACTTAGTGTTAAACGGCCTTTGTAACTTCCTTTCCTTGTTAGCAGCATGTTCTTTTCAGCGAGGTCCACCTGGGGTTGACTGAATTTACAACTAAAAAAGTATGCAACCATGGCATTTTAAGCGACCTTCCTTTTAGTCTTGTTTGCTTTTTCATAATCGTATTTACGTACAGATTGAAGGTTACTCCGCTTAGGTGAAGCTATGATGAATAAAGCGGATTAAAACTTCTGCAATCAGCTGATACGAAATGCATTGCAGTGGGTCTATGTGAATGGCTCGGTTTCATCAACTGAGTTGATAATTTAAATTTGCCATCGTAAGAGCTTCTAAAGCTACAGACTAGAAGCTTTAGAAAATCTTAACGGTGACCAATTTACTTTGTCAACTCAGTTAATAAGACCAAATCATCTTGTAATACCCCTCTCCCCTCGTAGAATGTTCCGGGAGGGCATTGGAGACTTGTCGATCAAGTCGCGGAACACACTTTCAGGCTCCAAGGTAATCTTAGAGAGATGGAAAGCACTGTAAACTAGAGGAGAGAGTGTTGTAGGAGCGGTATTTTTTAATAAAGGAAAGGCCATGTTTTTGAGTGTAGCGAGTTTCGTATGGAAAGACAAAAGCAGAAACAACACAAGAGGGACATTTTGTATGAATTTTCCTTTAGTTCAGTAATGTGAATAGCCTTTTACATCGAGTACGAGTATATATAACAGAATCATATTTAGCTGTAAAATGAAGTTTACATAACAATAATTTGATAATTTCTACCACTCTCTTTTTCAATAATTATTAACCAATGCTTGGGGACATCTATATTCCTACAGAGTACAGAGTTTGCAACATTTCCTGCGCGTCTTCAACCACTTCCTTGATCCTAAACAAATTACGGATCAGGTCGTTTACTCTCATGTAAATAGTTATATTAATTTTCATTCCAGTTGATAAATATCTGTTGATAACTCAAGTGTTTCGTCTCATATCGCTCGCACAATTATTTTCACCAAAGAAGTTCACATCGTTCCAACTGTGGAGAACGTTCTTGCGAATTCACGTATGGAATCAATTGGGAGTTCATCTCCAGTTCCTCCACTGACGAGTTTGGCCTGATCACTGCCCTGAGTCAACGGTATGAAGAACTGGTAAAATCTTCCACTTATTCATTGTATTGACCACAAATCAGCCGGCGTTATCTTGCGGAACTTCCAAGAAGAAACCTAAGAAAAACACACAACAGAAAACTCATTAAACCTCTACACCTTAACATCAGTATGCATATTCTCCCTTCTGTTCCCTATACATTTCTTTACGTGATCGTAAATTCCTCTTTCAATTTCAACGCCCTGCCAAGCAAACGGGTATTGAGAATTTTGATCCAAACTTCTCAGGAGAAGGCAAACAAGACGATTTTAAGAGGAGCACTTCTCAGATGGATTAAAACACAAAGAATATCTCTCAAGCCTAATAATTATACTGATGATCAATAAACATTTTGCTTTCCAATTATGTCGTTACCATTCATTTCTGCATTTTACGGCTTCCTTCCGGACCAATCTCTTCTTATCATCGACTGAATCAGCAAGCGCTTTACATACTTTGGTTTTGTACGGGTAGACCTGCCAGAAGAGAACGGATTATTAATCAAAATTGTTAAAACATGACTTATGGAAAGCACAACATGGAAGGCTGAATGATAAGTAAAAATACAAAAATGTAAATGCAAGATTACCACGTGGTGAGGTAAAGTTGTCAAAGCTCCAAGACACTTGAGAGCTTCCATTCTAACTTTCTGTTAACAAAAAAAAAACAAAGCAATACATTTCGTTTCAGTTTTTTCCAACATAAGAAAACCATCGTCAAAAGCTCAAATCAATAAAACGATGCTACGCTCCTTCACATAAAATAGTTGTCGCAGAGATCATCAAAATTTTCGACAATTGTTTTCCTCTGTTATGAGTGTCTCCAAAAAGTGAGGTTGCTATATCCTGAGAGACCATTCCTATTAAATCGGCCGAAAATACTTTCCTCTCGTAACAACATAATTACTAGTGGTTGCGAAATACAAAAACTGGCAACAAGCTTATTTTGGGGGCGGGAACAAAGTGGGCATCTTTCTCACTTGGGTAGCCTATCAGATGACAGGATTCACTTCATCCTGCCCGCACGAGAAGTCAGTCACAAAACCTTTTTCAACAACACGTTAAAAGACAAAAGATGCCGTATCGCCGAGTATCACTGCCACAGTGACCTCCCATCTTTCTTGCCATCGACCACGAACCAAAAATGCTACAAACGAGAGAACAACATCGCAATTACCATTGAGAGTTGAAACTTTGTCAAACCCAGAAGCATGGGAACCAGTGAAGTCACTTGACGACTGATAATCTCTGGCGCATCCAAAACTAGTGAGTACATAGTCTGCAAAGTGGACAGCTTTAAACTCTGTTCATCGCAAGACAAGGACTGAACCAATAGCGGCATCAACTGCAGCGAGCAAAAAAAAAAAGAAAAAGTAACGTAAACCATAGTAATTCTCAAGTATAACACCAAAGGAAAGCTACTTTTTTAAAGTGCTTTTCGGTTGAGTGTCTTAAGACCAAAACCAAAGTAATCACAACAGCCAATCAGAACAAAGGAAAATATCAAACGGAGCCAATAAGAAATCAAAGTAAAAACACGGAAATTCCCTAAAGCGCGGGAAAACGCGGGCAATCAGGAGTGGTGATTACGAGTGGTTTTAGTTTTGAATCTTATTGGTCTAGAAAGTGGCGCGAGTTTTATAGGCCAATCACAGAGAGGAGTGAAACAAAACCAAAGCAATGTCGGATTACTTTTGACATTCGATTGAAAATGACTCCAAATGTAAAGCTCAACAAATAAGACTTGTTACTCACGTTCGGCACTTCACTGAGCAGAACCTGTTTAGGTATCCACTGTAACAGATGAGACAAGGCGCAGAGGTAATGATGCTTGAATTCTACACAAATAAGACAAAAACAAGGAGGGAAGGAAAAGTGCATCTTGAAATATGTTATGGAAAGAACAAATTAAACTTACAACGTAAAAGGTTCTTTTCCTTTTCAATCTTTAATTCCAATTCACCGACCCTAACCGACAGGACTTACAACTCCCCTCGCTCCTTTAAGCCGTTGCTGCCTTAATCTTATATCGATGGCGAAATGATGCTAAACCCAAAGAAAAAGCCGAACGAAAGTCAATATGAATCGGAGAGTGATGAAAGACGTCGCTGAACAACAGTGCTATTTTAGATAAGAGAAATTTGATCAGCACTTACATGTTAAAAAATATTAGTTTACATGCATTGACATCTTCATTAAATCACTCTTGTTGAAGTCACCACAGCGTCCACATTCAGTTGAGCACTTCTTAAGATTTATATCTCCAATCTCACCTGGTTTTGCAGAGTGAAATCCTCCTATCAACTTGGGAGACGTCTCCATAAAAAGCCGTTGACGATACATCATCTGTTGACCGCGAAAACAGACAGGTTGATCGTTAGGCATAGGAAATCCCAAAATTCTCCCAATGAATTTTCATAGACAGAGCTACTTCTTATTCCGAGGTCAAGAATATCCTCCTATTACCTTGCACTATTCTCATTTCGTCGTGTAATGTCTACACAGAGGCCAATAAAATTATAAGGTGGACTTTCTTTTTCACCAAGGTGATCTCACTACTCTTGAAACATTTACAAAGGAGGCAAGGGCCAAGCCCTCTAATGTGATTGGCTGTGGTATAATAAATTTCCGAAATATTTGGAGCATTCAAGTTTGCACGGTCGATAATATGGTTGCGGAAATATTGTTGTGCATTGTTAGACATTTGTGTACCTTGAAGTTTAGGGGAATTTCACACAAAATAAATAACACACTTAACTGATTACTCAATTTCTCTTAGAATTGAGTGAAATAAAAGTTCATGCCTAACCTAAAGAGTATTTTGTTTGACAATACATAAGTCAGATGCTTACCCTGTAATTCACGTGCATTTTAATGTTCATAACCTCTTCATAGTCCGCCATGATGATGTAAAAACCATCTCCTGCTGCACGTCCGACATTTTTATCGACCAATAGGCTCAAAATCTGCCGAAAAACAAAGGTGTGAATGGGACATTAAACAAGTTTAGTAATGAAAGCTAGCCTCTGACTCTTAAACAAAGGCGAAAAGATTTCTTTCAAGATAACATGAAAAAAGGCAATATATAGTGGTAAATTCAAACGAGATGCAAAGACGTTTTTAATATCAAAAATACTCAACTAACCTTATCAATAAATAAAGGCGCCAATGGATGCGACCGAATGACTAAGGCTTTTGTCAACTGCAAAGAAGAATCTCCATTAACAAAAACAGAATCAGATGGCACCATATAGTTATTTTACAAGCTCGGTTTCAGTGGTCATGAGTTTGGCTAAACTGACTGTGTTTATGGGCTTAAGTAACATCACACAATAGGCTGAAATAAACTTTAGGAAAAAAAAATAACAGGACAAACATATATAAATTGAAATTTAGCAATGCCACATCCATTACATAGCTCTTTGATTACTGTTTTCTCGGGTTGAATTGGAATTTGGAGCGCTGGTTTCATTCTTCAGGATTGATCATAATTTAATTCTCTCATCAATCTTTAAACACCATCGGCAAACAGGTCATGCTAATGACAAGCAAGAAAATAGTACCTTAAGGGGCATTGTTTGACTGTATCAAGAATCTCTCAGCAGTAACCAACAAAGAGACATATAGACATCCGCGGAAAGACTGAAGTTAGAATAAAGATCTTACGAGCGAAGAATTCAAACCTATTTGATGACCAAAAAAATAAGATGGTTTGTTTTTCCTCTTGTGAGACCTCCAGTTACCTTGACCGTTAAAATCTGGAAATTTGTCTCTAACTCTCCTTAATGACAGGGAAATCTGTAATTTGCATCCCTCCAATAACTTTTTGCAGTAATTTTGACATATGAATACCCAATCCGTATTTATGTTTAATCACTTATTTAAGTTGTATTTACATAAAACATTATCACATCATACCCAGAGCCAAGTTATGGTGGCTCGTTTCAGTGAACCCTCTTTTTCACTGACTTGCCATATCTTGCTCACCAATCCATTTACTACCGAGGTTAATTCATCACCTGAAGTTCGTTAACAAAAGTAGATAACTACAATGAGTAGGGACTGAGGGTGGTGCAGTTACAGGGAAGGGTGGGCGGAAAGGGGGAGTTCATTGAACAAAAGCACCTCCCGCAGAGGTATTTTGTTGAAATTTGTGGTTTATTGTTTGAATCAGATACCTCCTGCATTTAGTTACAATTGGATTACTGGCTTATTCAGTACAATAACTCATTACCCAGCTACTAGAATCCACAGTAAAAGGGAAAAGAGAGAGAACTAAATTGTGGTAGAGGGGCTAACGAAGGGCTGACGAAGGGCTGACGAAGAGCTGACGAAGGGATGACGAAGGGATGACGAAGGGATGACGAAGGGATGACGAAGTGATGACGAAGGGCTGACGAAGGGATGACGAAGGGCTAACGAAGGGCTAACGAAGGGCTGACGAAGGGATGACGAAGGGATGACGAAGGGATGACGAAGGGATGACGAAGGGATGACGAAGGGATGACGAAGGGATGACGAAGGGATGACGAAGGGATGACGAAGGGAAGACGAAGGGCTAACGCTCGAGACGTCAGCTTAAAAACTCTATACGGTGGCCAATTTATATCATCAACCCAGTTAATAAAAACAAATTAACATAGGGTAGATAATGAATAGTAAACAATAAATGTCGTGTATCCCAGAGCTCACTATATCATTGGTGGAGAATCAAGCAATTGCAATTTTGCGTATTAGTCGCCTAAAAAGAGTAAGACCTGGCTGTAAAAAGTATACTCCATTAGTTCTGATTCTATCTTTCATTCGCTTGTTTGGGCGTTCATGTTTAGTTCAATTATCCTATCATTCCTAATTCTCCTCCTTTTCTTCTTCCGTTGTTTAACTTTATAATTTTCCTTTATGTTTCTTTCCTGTGTACTATCTGTTAGTCACACGTTTGTTTGATCTCTAGCTAGTTCGCTCATCCATTGAAAACAAAAGGCAGCAATAAGGAATCTTTTGAGAAGGCTTAATCGGCCTCCAAACAATAACGAACATGAAACAGATTGATTGTTCATCACCGTGGTAAGTATTCATAACATAACCAAACTCACTGTACCTTCAGGCAACTTGTTAATAATCCCGGCAAGGCACTGAGCCCCACTCTCTGCACTTCTGCTATGATCACAATGGCATGCTATTTGCTGAAGCCTGGGAATGAGTTCTGAATGCCGGGGGACGGTAACCTGATAATATCAACAAAAATTTTTGTGCTCCCATCAAAACATTTACGAGAGCTGATTCAAAACTAGTGCACGGTTAAGTAAAGAGCTCGGGTGGGTTGTTATGGCATTAACCAACATTCTAACTCTTTAAAATTTTCGTAAGACTAAATCCAAAATAATCATAACAGCCAATCAAAATGAAGGGAAGCATTCCGAGGAGCCAATGAAAACGCAAAAGCCAACGCACGTAAACAGCCCCAAGAATAGGAAACGCAAGTAACAAGGACATGATTGGTTTTAATAATACTAATGACAATACTTCCTTAATAATAACAATAATAAGAAGAAGAATAGCAAAAATAACATTAGTCGTAATGATAATCAACAACTACTCACCAAAGTGGAGGTGAATAGTGGTGTATATTTACCGAGCTGCAAAGCGGCTCGGTAAATATCCTCCACTTTAACTGACACTGGGTGAATACTTGTTTTAGTATATACCACACAGATACCAAAAATTTAGTTTATTTATCTCAATATACCGGAAAGTGGTATCGGAAATTTAGGTCTTAACGCGCGGTTTTGTCTCTTTGGCTGCTCGGAGGTGAACAGTACTTGCCCTTCACTTCCGAACTGGCCAATCAGCGCGCACGAAAAGCACTTTTCACTCGTGTGGTATATAATAATTACAATTAAAGTAATAACGATAATAATAATCGGAAACACTTAAGAGAGACTAAACACTTCAGTTATTGAACTGTTATCATTTTGGATCGTGTTAGCTAGGAGGATGGGGTGAATAATGCTGGCCCAGATTACATACAACACTGAATTGAAATTTGCGTTGCACAAGACTGCGATAGAGTGATGTAAAGCAAACCAACCTCCCGTCTTGCAGAGCATAAGGTGGCTGTTAGCAGTGATACAAGTTGAGTTTGTTCCCATGGTGATGTGGACTGAAAATAAATAAATAAAAAAAGTAAATTATATATATATATATATATAACTTGTATATATAAATGTAGCCTACGCAGATTGCTTTCCACATAATGAATGTACAAATCTCATGTTTACATATTGATAACATGAACGAAATGTTTACCTCAAATTGCAAACATTTTTTATCAACTGTTTCATGGAGAAAGGAGGAGTTTCCATCCAGATATATCCCAACAAAATCTTCGAGTAGATTACGTGCCGCTCTGTGAAAAATAAACAAATTAAGAAGACAAAATCACAGAACAAGATGATGTCAATAACAACATCAACAACAATAACAAATGATAGAGGCAAAATTGAAAGTACTAGTCAATCTAAATCAGCTCTATTGAGCCCCTCTGTGTGAGGGGAAAGTTTGTATAAATTAATTACTTTTTTCATACACATCGCATCAATGGAGGAGTTTTTAATTCAAATTTTAAAGCGCAATACTTCACAACCCTTGACAACTGGAGAGCAAAAAAAATCATTTAGTTTCTTTGATTTGGGTTCATACATCATCACTTCTATTTCAAATGACGCACACAAAAAACCGCAGTTATCAAACCATTTTAATGCAGGTGTGCAAGACTTTGGAACAACTCTCATCTCAAGCATGTTGAGTGTAAAATTGCAACTATGTAAAACTGAACAAGTTAGGAGTAGTATCTAATCAAGAGGAAGAAAAGATAGAAGAAGAGACTGTAATAAAAACCTACTCGATGTCCAAGTTACTCGTCACAGTCCTTAAAATGGCAGCAATGGTGTCTAAAACATCCTTTGAAATGGCTCCAGCAGTTCTCTCCTCAGAATCTGTAAGCCAAACAACGGATAAATGTTAGAGAGTACCATGTAAAACACACACTATTGAACAGTACTGATGTCAACCAGCTGAATCACAGAAAATGTAACTGTGATTAAGGCTTTCTATTCCCAACTGCTACAAAAAAAAGTGTGGAAATTTTTGAAGTATCAACAGAATTTCTAACTGAATGAAAATAATCAAAGATTTTGTTTTTACTATTTTTGGATTCCACTGGCTGTGATTACAAGATAACATGACTAACAACTCCACATCATCAGTGAACTTTTAGGAATTCAAATATCAGCATCAACAATTACCACTCAAAGCTGATTTGAGAACAATCTTCATGATATCAGGAACAAGAGATTGTTTGAAGTATGCAGCTGAAGTGATTCCCTTCTGAATTGATCCTGATAAATTAAACAATAATTATTATCAAACAGATTACATACAAACATCTACATAATACCAAACCAATCATATCCATTTACTGTCATATGGAGTTGAAAACATTTGTTATTGCAACAGATCAAATACAATAGTTTTTTTTGGAATGACCACAACATCCTAATCCCTTTAACTCCCAGATCAAATTTGTCATTCTCCTTAATGTCAACCATATACTTCCAAAAATGTTAAAGTTTAGAGAATTTAGTATTGGACCAAGCAATTATCCCCAAAGTGATATTTTTCTTTATTCTTGTAACTCATCTGGTTGATATTATATTGATATGGGAAGGAGAAATTCTGCCTTGATCACTCATGGGAGTTAAAGGGTTAATTGGTAGTTCAAAAGCAATCCATGATAAGACAGCCCCTAGATACTCCATGATTGGTCAAAAAGACTTACACCTCTTTTTCAGCCAATCAGATGCAAAACTAAAACCAAAAGCAGCTCACATTCTCTCACTTATGGTCACTCACATTATCTCACTTAACCCTTTACACCCTAACATCAGTATGCATATTCTCCATACTGTTCTCTATACATATCCTAAGGTGCTGACGAGGAGAATTTGTTTAACAATCAGGAGTCTCTTTAGTTGGTGACCATTTCCTTAATTCTCAAGACCTTAATGTGCAATTCAGGGGTGATATTGTGAGGAGAAATTAGATTCTAGTCTCTCTTAGGGGTTAGAGGGTTAAAACATTTTGGTTTTTTTTTATCTTTTTCGATCTCTCATGCTCCTTGTGAACTGGTTGGCTGTGATGTTCCTTTGGTTTTACAACAAAAAATTGAAATATGTCCTTGTTCTACATGTGCTGGCCTTGAATGCCCCACAGAGACATTTTACATTTTTTTGGAAGATCTTCCATGTTTCTACATTGATATCATGAAATAATTTGTTTTAATTTCTATGTGTACTCAGGGAGACAATCAAAGATTAAAGGAAAAGACAATAAATATCAGGCAAAAAGTAGGAACTGGCTAAGATGGCAGCCCCTGAAAGTGGACTACTAGTTTTGAACTCTTGTTTTGTGCCACTTTTGAGTCCTGTACAAATAACGACACAAAACCGTAACAAAGTAAAAAAATACATACCTTCTACAATATTCAAAATACACTGAAAGACTGCACAAACTTGGGACTGAAAGTCTTTGTGAGAATTCATTTCTGAAGAAAGTTTAAAGTTCTCTTAAAATAAGCTTATAAAACATAAATCCATACACAGAAACAATAGCAAGAGTGACACTGATGGCACTGATTCACAAAATATAATACTATTGAAGCTTGAAGTTTTTGATTCAAGCCCCAAACAATGCTCTTAGGAAAGACTACCTGTGATTACAATGTCATCTCCTTTAGGAGGAGTTAAGAGAAGATACACAGGGAAATTTGTGGGATTGAAGAGAACATTTTAAGGTGACTGACACCATGAAATAATCGTATGTAAGGAAAAACTACCACCAAAAAGGAATAAATTCACCAAAAATCTACAACCTCAACAATAGTCGAGGTAGGTGAGGGTAGACACAGATTCTCAATCACACACTCGAAAAATGTAGGCCACATTTTGAAAATGAGTAAATTGTGACACAGATTTTAAAAAAAGGTGGTGTAGGATGGTTCAAGAACACCTGCCCCTTAAGCTAAAAAGTTGTTCAGTCACAAATAAGGTGGGAAGTAGATTGTGACAGATGAGAAACAGACAGTGTCAAGTGACAAGAGCCCTGATTAGGCAGTGAAGATGATTCCACAAAAATGGAACTCAGAGAGAGCTTGTTTTGTAACAGATAAAGTCTCAATCAATTCAAAGCTTCAACATCCTCACCCAGGTGACCCTGGGCATTTGACCATTGTCTATTCCTTGGGTGTGGGAAATTTGACACAAAAGGCCTTCCCAGAGCTGAGGAATTTGAACTGGAAGTATTAATTTCTTCAAGTGGAATAGAAGTGCTGTTTTCTTCAATATGGAAGAATAAATTTAATACATTTGTTCTTTGGAAGGGGTATCTCACCATTTAATTCAGCAATTGGGTACAGCATTTGAATGCAATTTAGGCCAAGAGGGACAGGAATTTGAATGAACCAATCTTCAAAAGTTCAAATGCCTGATGGGTTTGAGAAGGGGGGGGGGGGAGAAAGATGTTGAAGCAAAAAATTGATTGATGCATTAGGCCAAAGCAAGGGCACCAAGTCTGATTTAATCAATCCTGGCATGCAGGTAAAATATCTTTTTCCAGACACTCACCATTACACAAGCACTGCACATGTTCAATAAGCCGTGGGATTACTTCATGAATGATTGACTCATCCATACACAAAGCACCCAGAGTATTAAGGACACACTGGTGACTGACAGGGGTGGTCAGGGGTTGATTGTTGTCAATATCCATAGCTGAACCTTCCTCTAACAAAGAATAATAAGCATTTGTTTGAAAGGATGCATGAAAAATGTGGTAACTGACATCTGATAGACTTCTAGATCCTCCAAATTCCAAATTGCTTGACTTCCCACATGAAACAGGGGTTAGTAGTTGTGGTAACCAAAGCCTCTGATAAACTGATAAACGCACTTCTTCATTTGACTAAAAATTCCACCCCTAAAAAGCAGTAAATCTGTGCTTTTCACAGTCTCTCTTAAAATCCTAAGGAAGCTATAGGTGATAAGTTTTCTCTGTTATGTAACAGTAGCTGTCATTAGGGTAATTACTCCACCCTTCCTTTTGCAGACATGTACACAATAACTTTGGGATTAATTGCAGTTTCTGTCAATAACAAAATTTAGTTTTGGAACATTACCTGCTTTAAGATGCATCTCCAGCAGGGGTAGCACAGTGGAAATGATGATGGCAGGATAATTCCTGGATAACTGTGACAATGCAGCAGAGCTAATATGGCTGAAACAATAGAGAAAGATATTTCTACAGTTCATAAAACCTAATACATAATTGGAAGGCAGGAGGCAAGGCATTTTTAAATGCTCTTCATAATCACAGCCCATACTTAGTGGCTTTGCTTAACCCAAAGTAAAAATTAACCTTGGAGCTCAGTGGTTGAGGATTGTAGTGATGCTCTTAGGTTCAATTCCTTTAGGGGACTCAATTTTTTCTTTCTTTGTCTTATGCTCATGAAAAAAATGAATAACACTTTTTTTATAAAACGAATTTACAATCAACAGAAACATTTTTAGGGCTACATAACTCATTGCCTCAATTTCATATACTTCTTTCGTCAAGGTGGGTGTGCTTATTGATCTTTTTATGGGCACATTGATAATTATTGGATGTCAATTTTGCACATTTCATGAGGGCCAGGAAAGGCTATTTTCATGCTTGTAAAAGAATAACAATAAAGCCCTCCAGTTGCAATAGAGGAAATGCTGCAAATAACTGGATTATCATGTATTTTGGAAAAAAAATATATACCTCAGAGAAGCTTCCTTGCTCCCAAGTACTATGGATGTAACATGCTCAACAAGCAACTGCACCTGTCAGATGTAAAGAAATTATTCACAGATTAAACCTTAAAGGCTGAGACTATCAGGGTCTCTCCATTTTAAAATTGCTGTTTGCAATCCATTCACAATATTCTCCACCATCCCTAGTCATTTCTCTCGTATTCTTCCCTTTTGGTGTTTCATTCTCCATGGCAACAATTCTTTCAAGGTTCTATTTTAATTAAGTGGATACTGTCAGTCTTGTGGACAATACGTTATTGGTGAATTGGGCAAGAATCACAATAAATGGCTCAGGTCTAAAATGCTGAGTAGATGCATTTAGTGAAAGAGGCAGGGTTTGAACAAGCAATTTATCATCCACCATATTGTGAATATGTTTTTTTTGTGAGAAGTATAGATGAAGCATTTTCTGTTTAACCCAACTCTTTTTATATGTAATAAACATTATATATGAGGAAGTAGGAAAAGAACCATTGATTAGTTTGATGGTTGTATCCTCTAGTGTTTTGTCCTGAACTTGCCTCTTTTTCTGTCAAAAGTCCTGCTAATTCAACAAGAACCATGAAACATTCCACTGTTACACTACATAAAGTGGAGCTCCAATTTGCCAGGAAAGAAAATAATGTAGTAGACACTGCCTCCTTGTATTTGATCACTGGGCTGTCTGGAAATTAAAAAATGAATCAGATAACATTGCCTCTCAATGTCCATGGATTTTAAACAGTTCCAAAAATTATTGCCATACTTTTGCCAATTCAAAAATATCAATTCCCTTGACTGGTTGTTTCTTTTGCAGGAGTTACTAGATATTCCTTTGGGGAGTATTGTGTGACAATGCAAAGAATGACTGCACATAAGACTATTTCACAAGCTAAAAAAGATTCCTTTAAAGCATGATTTAATAAATTTCCATTTGTCAAAACAGCTGTGCATAGTATATGAAAACTTAAGAGAAAAACTAGATGTTAAATATTATACCAGAGACAAATTTATCACATGAGTTCTTTAAATTACCTCTATAACATCATTCAAAGACACCACATCATTGTTGTGGTTCAGATTATAATAACGAACTACTGTAGACTGTTATAATCTGAATTGTCTTTATCGTATCGCAATAGCCAATGCCAGACAAAGGGAATTGCACATTAAACAATGAGTTTTAAAAAGTTTAAAAAAGAAAATAAATGGATGACAACCTAATTTTAATCAATGTGATGACCTTGCTAGAATAAAATCCCATCAAATGCAACAAAATTATTACCATCATTTTTGACAGTCTCTTATTCACATCTCACTTACCAGCAGGATGTCTGTGAAAGGTTTTGGCAGCTCTAAGAAGATTTGTAATTATGAGAATAAAGTTCTTTTTATGAGATACCTAAAATTATAAAATAAAAACAGTAAAAAAGAACATTTAGTTTTCACATTTGGGAAGAACCATAAGCAACACTAATAATAATAAAAAACATATTATTAATAGTAATTTGAAATGTAATTTAGGCCCCCACAAAAGGAAGTTTAACTAATTTCATGCATTCTCTCCATTTGTCTTGGTAATTTACCAAAGTATTCATACAAGGGAAGATCCAAATCATTCAAATTTGAAATGCCTTTTAAATCAAATCTTTTTAAACTACAACAAACACATTCTCAAAGACTGGACCTGAAAAAAACCTCAAATACCTAGCCTTGGAAAATAAATATGTTAGAGCATAGTATTATCTAGTTAACTGTGAACAGCTCTTTTAATGCAGTTTCCCCATTTTCAGGAGACCCAACAAAGATGCCTCAAACCAAGTCAAGCATAAACATTCACTGCTAAAGACACAGAATACATAAACATGGACTGCTGTAAATTCCACTTCACTTACCTCAATGTCCTGTGTGAGTTGTTCCAGCAACAGAGGAAAGGTCCAATCGATAATTCTGTGGCAAGCAGGCTCTGAAAAAGAACATAACACTAAATGAATATGTCAAATTTACTTCTGGTCAAAGCAGTTTTAGTGTAACACTTCTAAATTCTCTCTACAATTTGAAAAAAAATTTTCTTTGATCCCAATTGATCCAGATTTTATTTCTGGCAAAAAATGGAAACTTTTGTGATTTCATTCAAATTAAAATAAGTATGAATTATTTTTACAGGTGTAAACAATGATTCCTAAATTCAACTTTCTGCCATTACCAGAGTATGTTCTTATCAGGTCACCTAGGATTGATAGCAGAGGTGACAACAAGCACTTGCCATTTCAATTCTTCAAAGTTTGGACCAAGCTATACCTTATTGTGCAGAATAGCAATGTACCTCTACACATATCAGAATATTGTGTTCTTGTTCATAATTTGTGTTTTCGGCAACAATTTTTCCATTTACATTGTACATTCAATTTGTGAAGAGCTAAAAAATCAACACACTCCTAATGTTAAATAACATGAGTCCTCATTGATGCAAATTGAGTGACAAGGCTTGTTCAGTCAGGCGTGTAGCAGTCTAAATCCAAATTGATTTTATCATATAAATCTGAGTTAAGACCAAGATATCTATGATCGTACACTGTATGATGTCTGTAACATCTTAAACTCATTAGTCAAGAGGTTCTGTTGGAAGAGTTTTATCCTTCCCACTTAAGTTAACCCTTTCATTCCCTAAATCAGATCGGCAATTCATCTCTCTAGCTACTACACATTTCCTTGTAAATTGGTTGTGAGAATTTGGTGTTTGTTCAATCAAGGTAGTAACTTGATGAGTTTGAGTATTCTCACTACCAGTTTGCTGCATGATGTAGGGATACTATAGGGAGAAGTTACATGGTAATCAATTCTGGTAGTTAAAGGGTTACATACCTGTTGCTAGAGCCACAGCCTGTAAAATTCTTCCACACTGCCTCATCAGCTTAACATCACTACCAGTCAGATGACCACAATCTGATATGAAAAATGTTAAGGATTTCTTTCTTTCTTAAAGAAGCTCTCTTGGAAGCCCTTTTCAACAACCTTGTCACCACTGTCAGTGTCTAGATACCCCTCATTTCAATTTGTCAAATTTTAATCACACTTAAATTCCCTCAAGTGCACAGTACTTTCTTCAGCCTTATATTTTTCTAAAAATAAAAGTTATTACTATCTGTCAAGCATTTTTAAAATACCATATGAAACTTTTTAAAAACGTTTTCCAGGTTTTTATTAACTGAACTGAAAAAAAAAAAAAAAGTTTACAAACAACACCTGGGAGGTCAAAACAAAAGCATCCATAAGTTCCACTTATTCACAAGAAGGCCAGACAGGAAATTTTTGTTGCAAGAAAACACTAACCACAAACGAGCACCGTGAAGCAAACTTTACACTAGATTTATTTCCAACAACATGTCAGCACATTTGACTATTATTAATAGTATTTTTTGTTTTTTTTAGTTTTCACACATTTTTGTTTTCAAATGCTTGTTATTTTTTAACACCTCTCTTTGTACATTTTAACTTCTTTTATACATCATTTTTAAGTAATACAGTAAATAAACTGACTTAAAATTATCTTCACTGTCAACTTAATTGCTATACACTTTAACAATCATCTACCTTTGAGATGAACTAATACATGTACCAACTATCATAACTGTGCATTTATCATGGATTATACTCTGAGTATCTTAATGTACAGTAATATTTTTCTTTGGGAGACTTACCCTTGTGGATAATTTCTAGAAACTCATCATATTTCTCCTTAGTATTTTCCTACAAAAATAGCCTTAAATTAATAATCAAAGTGAAAACCAAAACAATATGCTATAAAACTAATGCACTATAAGTGATTTTATCTTAAGTTCCAAATTTCAATTTGTTGTAATTGGTACAAATAATAGAGAAAGAATTCAAAAGTTTAAAATGTCTTTTAGAAAAAAAAATTGACTTACATCCATAGATCCACAGAGGTTTTTAACAATGCTTGTCACTGCAGCCAGAGCAGCATCCTACAATGTTATCGAGATACCAAAAACATTACTAAAGGAGTGAATAATGTAACCGACAGAGTGCATAATGTAAATGGTGCAAGATTATAAAGAAGTTGAAGACATACATGGTATGTTCAAACTTACCTCTAACACAGGATTCCCCACATGGAAAACCTGGTTAACAAAAAAAGAAGACATTAAATTTTAACTAATTGTCCAAAATGTATCCATTGAAAAGATATACCTAAAAAACTTACTGCACTTTTAATACTTGTCCAAAGAGGCTCCAAGTGCTCAACCAAATAATTGCTATGATACTCTTCCAAGCAAGATGACTATGAGATTGAAAAAAATCATGAGTTAATGGTTTAGACATTCATTTAACCCTTTATACCCTTAGGCACCCACAACTAAATTTCTCCTTACAGTGTCACTCCTGGATCAAACATTAAGGTCATGAGAATAAAGAAAATGATCAACAACTAAAGAAGCTCTTGATTATTAAACAAATTCTCTTGACAGTTCCTTGGGAAATGTATACAGAACACTATGGAGAATATGCATTTGGATGTTAGGGTGTTCAGGGTTAAAAAAAACATGACTGATTTACACTACAAAATACAAATCAAAATGAGTAAAGTGAGATTATTCCAGGTTGTGTGACAGAATGAGACACTTACCAGGGTCAATAAAGAGTCAATCTTAGCATCAGTGATATCAGATGATAGCTTCTCCATAAGAAGTGGAAAGCAGAACTATTGCACAATTGAGATATAAATTATTTCACCTTTTGTACTTCTTACTACTGTCAGTATACCAGACAAGTTGTAATAAACTTGATACAGGTTTGATAGATGTTAAATATCAATTGCAGCATTTAAGTAGTTCTGCAGTAGTTTGTATATATCAAATGTTGCCTTAATTAACCTAAATCATATCAGAGTCCAAGACTACTCTCCATTTGTCAGAACTGAGAGGCTGAACCATCCAACTTCTGTCCAATCTGACCCTGTCAATGTGTAGAGCCTACCAGTTCAATTCTTTGAACAAGTTTGGATATCAAAAAAGATTTTATAGCACACGTAACCCTAAATCATTTGATGTGACACTATTCCATCATATCCTGTTGTCCACTTGTTTCCAGATGAGCACATCGTTACCTGCTGAATTCACTGTCAAATTATTATACACAACTAACTAAAATGTTCAAATAACATGAACTCACCGGGGCAAACTGATTTGTAGCAGCAAGACACTTACGCAAACTCATCACCAAATCATCTTTTTTGATTCCGTATGGATCATCTGACGGCTGAGAAGATTATGTGTAAAGTGTTATTTGCTATCCTCTTTACCCACTACAACCAAAATTTGTGCTTAATTAATACTTCTTGTGAATAAAAGAATGACTTTTACAATAACAAGAAAGTTTATCATTGACTGGTTGGAGAAACTCTGAACAAAATTTTTTTACAACCTCAGTATGAGCTGTATCTTAACTAAAAACATGTGAATTGAATTTTCAATACATTATGCAACTTTTAAAAAATCATAAATAATGGATCCATTACGATTGCCACTCAATAGTTTGGCTTTCTTTTGAGCTTTAAAACATATTACTTATAATGAAAATTTGATGCCATATCCATTGATTTCATCCAGTTTACCACAAGAAATCTCCAAACAATTGAATCCAAACAGGCAAAGAACCAAAACTGTAATGTACAGTACAACATGCATTTAGTTTGAGAAAGATGGGAATTGAATGTAATTTGACATGTATGGTGATGATCTTTTTTACCACAAGTTCTCTTCATCTTATAGTTTGCCAACAGTTAAAGTTAAGTATGTGTGCTGTGTGTCAGAGTATGCTGTCTTGTCCAAAGCAAAAAAGGCACAGGTTTACCATGTTTATGTCCAGGAAATTTGGATCAAGATCAAATAGATCTACTTACTGGAGTGAAATCAATTGGGAAATAACAAGATGTCACTTCAAACAGATCCTCAGCAAATAAATCTGAAATTATTCACACAATATCAGAACACCATGTTGAATCTGCAATTACGGTATATCATTTCAGTTATGTTATTATGTATAACAATTATGAAATAAGAAGATTGTATATCATAAAGTTGCAACTTATTATTAGCCACTGAAAATATATTTCAAAGTTGGCCACTGATTGGTTGAGATGCGTACTATTCTTCATCTGCCATCTATCATTACTGTGAAATTAAGGGCTGGAAAAAGCAAAGTCTGCACTCGAGCCTGGTGGCCCACCCATCCAGAGGTTATACCAGCATCCAAGTAGCAAGAAGTAACTAGGAGTATCACTACTCCCCTCTCCCCCCTGGATGGGATGCTGATCTATCCCAAGGGTACCCCCACAGCATTTTACCAGACTTCCCAGACAGTTTGCCAATTACAGCTGGACATTCCAAGAATTTCTGATAAAGACTTGTCCCCAGAAGATTAAAATTTTTACACAATCTAGACAAGTCTTCATTGATCTAAACACAACATATCACACCAGTTTTAGTAGTTCAAGAAGGTTCTTATAAAGTTAGAAAGAAAGGGATACAGACAAATCTGACTGATTTCTTCTCATCATTTTGAAATGTATTTAGCCGCTTTTTTTCAAGGCAAGGATTATGGGAAAAGGGAGGTTTCCAACACAACCAGCTCAGCCAAATTTGTATTACAAGCAGGATAATAAACCAATCACTAAGAACCATACAGTGATATTTACCTATTGAAAAGTTGCTGATGATGACTCTGACCAGCTCAAAGACCAGGAGTAAATTTTTTGGGTCCTGTGACAAATTGAAATAAATTTCATATTGTACAAGAAACTTGTGATATAATTATAAATGTTACAGCTTATAGCTAAGTCTTCTTGCTTCCCTGTTTTTTCCAATTTACATAATTTGTAAAATATACTGAAAATAAACTTATCCTAGAAAGCTTACCAATAAATTGAAAAACAGAAAAGAAAAAAAAAAGGAATTTACCTTGGAAAGTAACTACATGATTGTAAATATAAATGAAACCAAAACTTGTTTAAAGTAAATTCCAAAGTAAATTATTTTGATCAATCCACCTTGAAACATCTTGTCTTATTGCTTATCAGAAAGTTTTCCAACATTTCACTCAAAGTGGTTCTTCATGTTATGTGCCCTATTATTTAAAGTAACTTCAATGATAACTTAAAATCTATTATGAGGCATATTCAAATGAATCATTTTCTTCCAACTTCTTCCAGCAGAGAAGATAAGGGACTTGGCTTTAACTAAATATAAGAACCTGTGAAGTTTTCCTTAGATTTTTCTTGATCATTTTTGCTGGCTTTATCACTCATATGACTTCTTCAATTTCTTTGTTCTAAGGTAGTCATGAATGCAACAGGTTCTTAACACTTCAACTCCCAGACCAAATTTGTTATTCTTCTTACTGTCAATTATACAATTCTTATAATGTTAGTTCAGAGAACTGAGTATTGGATCAACTAATTATTGCCAAATTGATATTTTTCTTTATTCTCATCACTTATCTGGTTGATATTGTATTGATATTGTAAGGAGAAATTCTGTCTTGGTCACTCATGGGAGTTAAAGGGTTAAGCCCAACTAACACAGAATGAAAACTTCTCTACTGACCTTTTCTCCATCCATAGCTTGGATGAAACCAAACACAAAATCATTTCCAATACTTTTTAGAGCTGTGATTAAGGACAAACAGTGAACAATGTGAGTTTAAGGTAAGTTGGATCAAAAAAAAAACAACATCAAATGAATCAGCCAAACTGTTTACTCCAAATACAGGAAAGTATCACTGTAAGAAAGTTTACGTCTATAATTCATCACATATTGTGTAGAATACGGAACAGAGGGAATCCATGTTATGGAAAAGTCAGTTTTGATTACCTGTCTTTTATCATTTACTTAATACTGGTTGTTTGTAATAAAAAAGGGAGTTGTTGGAATAACAATTCTGAACAATACATTACTAGTTAAATTCTATTGGAGCAGGGACTTAAACTTAAGGACACAAAGCTTACCTTGAAGATGTTTATTTAACACAACTGCAAACAGATTGAATGCAGTCAGTCTTCCTTCCTTTAGAAGAGACTGGAAAAGCAGATTTTTGTTAAAAATTTGTTGAAGAAAAAGCCCATGAAAAATGGTATTAAGCCACAAACATGCAGGATTACCATAAGGAAATGGTAAGTGCAAAACCTGAAGACCATTGGACCATTTTGCATTGGCTAATTTCTGAATCGTGATCAAAGACAAAAAATACAAATTTCTGAACTGATTCTTACATCAGTGGCTCGCAAAAAAAGTCATTCATTTATGTTCAAGAATGCTAAAAATCAAAACTCAGGGAGTTTCAAATTCCAAGTTTTTTGGGGGGAAGTCTGGGGTAAGCTATACAAGTGCATGTTGGGAAGCAATATGCCATGCTTGCTACACAAGTATAATTCAATTCAGCTGCCTACTCAGTACAGGTCATACAACCCTGAACATGTAAGCCCTAAAGGGCTGCATACCTAGTGATGCATATGAAATATGTCACAATAATATTAAATGGCTTCAAGTGATAAATTAAGTGAGATTTTCCCAGACTAAGAGGTACAGGTATTTTGACAATTTTTGTCACAGGGGTATCTTCAGAAGCATTGTTCATTTCAAATTCAATCAATATTGCCCCTCTTTAGATGAGGAACACAAACTGACATGAAATAAATTGTCATCTAAATTGATGCCACAAAAAGATTCTAAAATCTTCCAGTATAGCTTCCTTAAATTTTTAATGGACATCAAAAGGGCAGCAAGTGTTCCTCTTAAATCAATCCATGCCTTTAATTTATTCAAAACCTCACCTGGACATGGACTTCTTTGAACAATGTCTGAATGAGTTTTAAACACTCTGCATCAGTGACATCTTGATTAGTGATCTAAATCAAGAAAATGAAGCAATTGCTATTAGGCACATTTCATAAATAACTATCTAAAGATGGTCCATCCATAGAGTGAAGAATTCACAGCCAATAATATTGCTACCAAAGTAGCTAAGGGGGAGGGGAGGGGGGGAGGCAAAAAAACTTTGCCAGTCTAAAAGCACTGAAAACTCTGAGAGCCTGCTAGACAACAAAAATGGAACTTATCTGCACAAAAGTGAGACTTTTCAAGCAGAAAAGTAATAAAAAAAAAGTTAATTACCTGAAAACAATGAGAGCTAAAATTATATAAAATGTATGGCAAGCAGTAAAAAAAATTCATATCTAGATCTCATAAGGGAAAGAGTTAATGTAATTATACCACATCAACAGGCCAAGCCTGGCAAAATCATAGAGAATTTCTGATCAGTTTGTTGGGAAAGGTATATGAACTTATTGGGTTGTGAGATTTAAGAGAAACATATTTCATCAACAGAGTCCACATACCAGAGCAAGAATACCAAACAGGGCATGAGGGATGATAGTATAGTGATCCTTGAGTCGATCACACAGAAATTCACAAAACAATGTCACTGAAAAAATAAACAAAGAAGGAAATTTAACTAACTCATGAGACTCATTGTCAGATAGTATTGCTGAATGTAATGCAGGTGGCAATGCTGGCCTGTGGCAAGATGGTCCCTGAATTCTCTCATGCCTAAAGAATTAAGTTTTTACGGTGCTCTATTTGATGTCAGTTCTTATTACTAGTGTTCCCCCCACACAAACTTTTACCAAGCTGTTCTTCCTCCTCTCTTTGGCTAAATATTTTTGATTTTCAAACTGAGATCCTTCATGAAACAGTGTCTGATGGGAGGATGGTGGTGCTCTCAATGAACATGGCCACATGCTATTCCCACAGACTGTATAGGCGCCTATGTCACTCTCAACTATTTTCCTTGAATTTTTGTGACAGGTGGAGCAAGAAAATCTGATCTAAGTTTCGATTGTAAACCATTTCTATATTCATGCTTAATTTCAATTCATAATTTCTATATTTGCTGTCAGAGGACTTACCTCTGATTGCAATCCCTTCTCCTCCCAAACAGAAAGAGTAAGCTCTACTTCTAAACCACCCAGCTCTCCCTTGAAAGCACATATAGCTTAATGAATACAAAGTTCACTTTTCTCTTGGGTACAGTTAATGAGAGAACTTTACATTGTTCGGAAAAGTCTGGCTAGACCAGGGCCCAGTTGAATAAAGGGTGGATAACGCTATCCAATGGATGAATTGCTAACCAGCAGATAAGTGATAGCAGAACATATAGCGTCATCCACTGGATACAGATTAATCTGATGGACAGCATTAACCAACCTTCAAACAACCCCAACCAGAACATCAATTATTATATATACATACAGTATCACTCCAACTACTGTATATTAATAGAGCAAAATCAACATTAGTAAAAGACAACTTTATGCAAAGAGCTTACAAAAAGCTCATATGTTAAAGACTAAATTTAACAACCTTCTTTTTCTTTAAACTGAAACCCAACAAGGCGATGCAAGACTTCAGACAACAACCGCACACCATGACATCTCTTATCCACCTCAGTACTGGTCAACTGTGGCCTGTACATAGATAGACAAATACATGTAAATTAAAACTATTACAAAATTATTAGTTGTGTTTGGTTATCAGCAGCCTGGTTTGAGCAATAATTGGAGTGTGTATGCATCATGCTTGTGATTGGACAGTGTAAAATCTTTTTTTCATTCAAGTGTAGGCCTCTTGCATGTTGTGTAACTAAACAGTACACATCATTTTCACATGCTGTGACACAGACTTTTGGGTTCATCATGTGTTAATGCAAAACTTAACTGTTAAAAGTCACCAGTTATGTTTTATGATTACATTACACAAATGACTATTTTCGATATTAAATGAAGTCATTCTTTTAACTCATTGAAGACAGGACTTTACGTCGCCCAATTTTGTATGTGATCGAATGCGATCACCACCTCGCGCGCAGTTGTCTGGTCATGTATGATTGCACTCAACCCAGCTCTGTAACCATTATGAACAATACTGGTAAGTGGTTGAGTGCCTTGAAATTAAATTGACTCTACCAGGCCATATTAATATTGAAAATAACACATGTCAATCCTCGAATACTTTCGAATTCTGCGCGCCTTAAAAATCGAATTTTCCTCGGACACACTTGCGCAAGATGACGGCATCGTGATAAGCGTTCTTTAAAAACTGAGAAACAAGGGATCCTTCACATTCTGAGTTTTTTATTTCAAAAATTCACGATCTGGCAAAGGTTGCTGTATCTCGGTATGGCAGATTACATAACCTCGAAAAATAATTAAGGTTAACAGCTTACTAACCCTAGTTTTTCCACTAAAGTAACAAGATCGAGGTTTCCGGAGCGTACATCTGCAAGAAATATATTTATATTATCAAAAATAATGGAAAGCAAGACACGCGCACTAAAATTTCCTTACCTTTCACGATCCTTGAGAGTTGTTGTTCAATATTTGCTTCCAACATGTTTTCACTACCTGCGTCCGCCATGTTGGAAAATCGCCATGTGACAAAATGCGAAGCGACTGGGTCGATTACAGGTATGCAACACGTCCAGACATGTGAGTCCGCGAAAGGGGCCAGGAAAGTTAGGTATGGAAGTAATCTATACTAGCGGGAACAATATTAGTTTCATACGCCATCAGGTATCACCTTTGTCATATGGAAAAGGTTTATTTCAAAAATTCAGTGGGTTATAGTCCACAAATGGTTTACCGAAGGGCAAAATAATTTGAAAGACGTCTCCAAGATTCAATGGCCACCTGAGATCTTTCAAACCACAGAATAATTCAAGGCATGGATAGCTGACTTACATATTTGAGATTTAACTATGCTACTAGTGCGCATTTATTACATTTTACCTCTTCTTAAAGGCTCTCCATCCCATTTAAAATTAAAAAAAAACCTTTTCAACTCCTTATGGCAAAGATTTTAAACAGCCCCCCACCTCAACTATAAATAAGAACACAGTAAATTTAAAGTGTTTGTATCAAATCCCTTTATTTTGAAGTATACAACTACTACTTTTACAACATTATCTCTGTGCGTATAAGCTTTAAAGAGCAAACCACTTCATCTGTAAAATCATAGTTCAAGTCAATTGAGGAAATCCTCGGAAGACGTATTGGCCGTATTGAGCTTGGATGGCATTGAAACACAGGTTGGCATGAGGAGTAGTAGAGTAGGAGTAGTTGCTCCACATGTGTTTACCAGCCAACCAGTAAAAGCTGCATAATTCTGTTGCAGTAGATGGTATTGTACAAACAACTGATTTGCGTAGTAGATCCCTACGTTATTTAAACGCTGTTCATAAGCGAAACTAATTCCTGGGATGTTTCCTACGGACATTCCGCCCGCAAAGTATTGACTCGCGATCATCATTTTTTCTGAAAAAAATGAAGACAAGCGGGAAATAAGTATCTTATTCTACAAAAGGATCACTAATTTCCTTTACATACATCTTTTCAATATTCTTGAAATTTGGCGTGTGCTCTATCCGCAATTGTTAACGAAAATGAAGATACAGAATGAAAATGAACAATGTTCAATCACGCCACCTCACACAGCGTGTGAGCTGCTTTTAAAAAATGATTACAATTTTGTCGTTGAATGATTTTCTAATTTAACGCGCTTTTGTATCAATTCGTTCTTTAAGATCGATGCTCACCAAGAATCCTAACAAACTCGTCAAAACTCTGACCAAGGGCTAACGTTGGAAACATCAGCTTCATAAACTTTTTACGGTGGCCAATTTACATTATCAACTCAGTTGATGAAACAAAGTTATCGTACCGAAGCAGAACCACAGTTATTTTTAAGAAACTTACCGTTCTTCTATTTTTGAGTTTTTAAAGTTTCTTCTGTGGCTCGCTATTCCGTTTCTCTCTTCGTCTGTGCCTTTATTTTTGTGAATAAAAAAAAATAAAAAAGTCTTCTGAATTGACCCAAGGCGCAAATATCTATCTACTACCGGACACATTATCTAAATAGCTGGCTTCCAAATTCCGGGTTGCGATAATTTTCATGGCATGCAAAAACATGTCTATCGTTTAGCTCGCCGCGAAAATAATGAACTTGTTTAATGTCAGATATGAATATCATTCCTGCAGGCTATGAAAAGTACCTTCGAAGCCAGGGTTCAAGTGCATAGGAATATTAATCGACTTAAAAACGGTTCTTAAACGTCACTATTTATTGCGCAAAAATTTGTCGACGGTGATTGGTGCCACAGTGTAAATTATCCATCTTCAAGTTGATAAAATAAACGTTACGAGGAAAACTCCCAAAGGATACCGTCCTAATAATGCAGACTCAGAATTAAGCGCTTACCTGAACGATATGTTTTTGTTCTTTGTTACTTTGCAGTAAACAAGGCAGATAATAGTACACCGTTAAATGATTTTCGACGACAAATCGATCAATATTCCATTGCTTAAATATTTTCATGATATTTGTGCAAATAGATATTAGATCTTCCTATAGATCTCAAATTAGAATCAGTCATATGCGTGTATAGTTTCTCTTTTCATATGAAAGTGTGTAAATGAGCACTTTAAAAGCGATTTCAGTGAACAACATAACATACATACCTTAAAAAGACCCAAAGAATTCCAGCTGAGATTCTCGAGGTTCGTCGAGCAAACTAGCTCTCAGACTGTTCTGTCTGTTTCTTATCTCCCTTAGTTGCAGAAAAATGAAAAGAAATGAATGATTTAAACTGATTTACCCTCATTTTCTTTCTTACGAACGTTCTTAGATATCGACGCGACAATGACGGACCTAAAGATGTTAGCCACTTTATACGAGAAATGAGTCTCTTCCCATCCTTGGGAAACCAGAGCTAAACTGGCATGACTTCTGATTCCACGAGTTTAGCTTTGCAGACGATCGCTAATTACATTGGTCTGTTTCCGTTTTGATTTTTGAGTTGTATAGGGAATAATTGTTTTCTGATTCCTAAAAATTCCAAAAGTGGATGGGCTGATAAGATAGTTGATTCTGCTGACTGCATTATCTGCACGAAAAGATGTGCTGAATAACTTTTGATTCATTCTGAAAGCAAGACTAGGAATGTAGAAGTGTCTTCCAAACTTGATTCCTCGTCTCCATCGCAGAAAAATGCAGAAAAAGGCAGATTTAATCAGATGTAATTGGCGAATAATTTGGCGCCATGATAGCAGTCTTTTCTAAGCGAAAGAAATATGTTCCCACCTGGAAAAGTAGTCACGACGGTAAGTTTTTTCCTTTCTTTTTCTCGTAAATATCACAATATCCACCCTGAGGGATCAAATTAGTAAAGCTCAAACTGACATAAAATTTAGTGTTTTCTCTAGATCGTTCTCGATAATCTCTCAAAGTTTACTCACAGACTCGAATTTGCTTCTTGGATCCCGTCATGATAAACATGCTCTGACGCAAAACACGTCATCGTAATTTCCGGGTAATTTCCCATACCAGAATCTTGTTCCCATGCAGTGTGCCACTGAACTTTCTAGTTGTGAGTGAAAAAGAATATCTAGCTACCAACGAACACGTCATCTAAATGGCTAGCTTCCAATTTCGGGTTGCGGTAATTTTCATGGCATGCAAAAACCTTGTCTATCGTTCAACTCGCCGCGAAATTATTGAACTTGTTTAATGTCAGATATCAATATCATTCCTGCAGGCTATGCAAAGTACCTAGGAAGCCACGATTCGAGTGCATAAGAATATTAATCGACTTAAAAACGGTTGAACGACCTTAAACTTCACTATCTATAGCGCGAAAATTTTTCAATGGTCATTAGTAAGCCATAGTGAAAATCATCCATCTTCAAGTTGATAAAATAAACGTTACGAGGAAAACTCTCAGAGGATACCGTCCTAATAAGTCAGACTCAGAATTAAGCGCTTACCTAAACGATATTTTTTTGTTCTTCGTTACTTTGCAGTAAACAAGGCAGATAATAGTTAGGTATACAGGCGCTCTCTCAATAATCTGAATTATTCAACGCTCGTGATTCAATTTATACGTTTCTTGAGTCAAAACCCACTAACTTCCCGAGGAACAAAAACTTGCACTTTGGACTCGCACGTGATCAGGTAATGCGAGTTGAAACCACGGCAAATCGGGTCAAGAAAACATTTTTTGTGCAAAAACCGAAGAAGAAAATCAGCAACTTTTGCCCCTGAATCAAAAACTCGAAATCTACTGTCTAGGCAAGCGATAACACCATGAAAACGTAGAGGGACTTCTACAAAGATCATAGTTTGAACGAAACGTTAGTCCAAGTTGTAAGGTGACACCTGCATATAATTTGGTCTATTTCTGACTTGAAAACACCCGGCCCCAGGTGAAAGAATGAGTTTTGTTTCCACTCCATCACGAATTTTCCCTTCAGCGTGTGGGTCTCAGGGAAACAACACTCATTCGTCCTCTGCTGGAATACTCGCTCTCCCACAACAATAACCGTGCGCGTGATTCACTGTAGACCTTGTTATACTTCTTAATAATTCGAGCCACTCCTAAAGAAAAGGTCCTCATTAAACTCCTCTGGTTAGCTTATTAACCTCGGAGACCAAGTAACAGAGGTAAAAATGAATGATATGGAAATTCCAGTGCTTTTACATTTGAATATTACCTTTGATGGAAAAAGAGGTGCTTATGGCCCTCTAACATTTTTACTCAACATTTCCATCCATAAACGAGCCACAAAGCAGCTATACACTCGCTTTTGCGAGAGATAAGACGGTCACTCTGACTCCATCCATCCAGTTGCTTTTCTATCACCTATTAATTTCATGTTGATTAAATAAAATCCTGTGCGCGAAATAATAAACAATAAACTTAGTCTGGTTCTAAATAGGAACGTGTTCCGTTTCTCCTGTGCACAACTCGGTGCTTTCAAAAATAATCTCACCGACGAAGCTGGCTCGTCCAAAATGTTTGAAATTTTCCGCAGGCTGTGACTGAGGATTACTTTACTCTAAAATCAACTGATTGTGACGTACTGAATTTGAAAATAACACAACATTTAGCGAGTGTTAAATGCTGAATTTAGCCGAAGAAAAAATTTAAGTGCGGGCATCTGGATCAAAGTTGAGTTCGTATGGAGGTCCGTCTGTTCTTGAACAATCACTGAAGTATAGACTCAACTCGTTGCCATTACCATCGTAAATAACACTAGCTATAGTCTGTGTCAGTCTTATATGTACTGGCCACTAGCAGTTTCGAAAATAAAAGGCGCTTTGTACGGATCACGTATCTGTTATTAAACAAGTAAAATTCTTTTCAGCATACATAACGTACGCATTCTTGGGAGGAAGACAGGTACCTTTTTAGGCAGACTCAGCTGAGGAGATTTGCAATAGACTCCCTGCTTGATCATTAAAGGATGAGTCACTTATTCAGAGATGTTTACATCACTAGTTTTATTCTCAAGGTAGAGCTAACACCGTCGACATTACGAACTCAATGTAAATAGTAT